CAGACAAACTTTATTACGCACAGACAAACTTTATTACGTACAGACAAACTTTATTACGTACAGACAAACTTTATTACGTACAAGCAAACTTGATTACGCACAGACAAACTTTATTACGCACAGACAAACTTTATTACGTACAAGCAAACTTTATTATGTACAGACAAACTTTATTATGTACAAGCAAATTTTATTACGTACAGACAAACTTTATTACGTACAGACAAACTTTGTTACGTACAAGCAAACTTTATTACGTACAGACAAACTTTATTACGTACAGACAAACTTTATTACGTACAGACAAACTTTATTACGTACAGACAAACTTTATTACGTACAGACAAACTTTATCACACACAGACAAGCTTTATTACGTACAGACAAACTTTATTGCGTACAGACAAACTTTATTACGTACAAGCAAATTTTATTACGCACAGACAAACTTTATTACATACAGACAAACTTTATTACGCACAGACAAACTTTATTACGTATAGAAAAACTTTATTATGTACAGACAAACTTTATTTCGTATAGACAAACTTTACTACGGACAGACAAACCTTATTACGTACACACAAACTTTATTACGCACACACAAACTTTGTTACATACAGACAAACTTTATTACTTACAGACAAACTTTATTACTTACAGACAAACTTTATTACGCACAGACAAATTTATTACGCACACACAAACTTTATTACGCACAGACAAACTTATTATACACAGACAAACTTTATTACGTACAGACAAACTTTATTACGTACAGACAAACTTTATTACGCACAGACAAACTTTATTACACACAGTCAAACTTTATTACGCACAGACAAGCTTTTTTACGCACACACAAACTTTATTACGCACACACAAACTTTATTACGCACACACAAACTTTATTACGCACACACAAACTTTATTACGTAAAGACAAACTTTATTACGCACAGACAAACTTTATTACGTAAAGACAAACTTTATTACGTAAAGACAAACTTTATTACGCACAGACAAACTTTATTACGTACACACAAACTTTATTACGTACAGACAAACTTTATTACGCACACACAATCTTTATTACGCACAGACAAACATTATTACGCACAGACAAACTTTATTACGCACAGACAAACTTTATTACTGACAGACAAACTTTATTACGTACAAGCAAACTTTATTACGTACAGACAAACTTTATTACACTCACACAAACTATATTATGCACACACAAACTATATTAGTCTATTTTCTCTCCATACAAAGCTTCTTCACAATCTAGTGCATGAAATGTATCAGTGGTTGTTGGTTAATCTAATTGGTGTTGGTGTGTGATTTTTTTTTGAGTCAGATTTTTTTCCACTTCAAACACAACTTTGATGCTAATGAGTTAAAGAGGACCTACTATGGTTGTTTGAACAAGTTAGGATCCATCTGTGGTCTTTACAGAACATGCTCACAAAGCTGCCAAGACCAGACTTCTCTAACATCATTATTGCTTCTGTGGTTCAGAAACAAAACATATCATGACCTGTTTAGTTATTATCTGATGAGAACTCCTTAAAAACATAACTGAAAAAATGAATTATTTCAAACTCAAAACATTTGCAATATGATTCAGACATTAAAACACTGATGTTTCATCAACTTAAACCATAAAGGTTAGTTTAGTTAAATCCAGACATAGCTGAAATCATACTGAGGGAGAAAAGAGATCTGTCCTCCTTTCTCCTGTAACTTCTCTGATTATCAAAATGCATCATAACTCTTAGTTCAGAGAAAAATAAATAAAAAAAAAGAATTTTTTTTGTTTCTTATCTGATTAAGAAGAAGAGAATGTCATTTTTACAGGTTAAGGTGACCTGAGGTGACTCGAGGTGACCCCTACGTATCGTGCAGACCCAAAATGAAGCGTAGACTTGTAAAAACGTGAATAAAMTCACTACTGCTCCATCTAGTGGCAGCACAGATAGATGACTGCTTTAGATAAAAGTTCATACAATCCAGACTGCCCCGGTGCATCAGGGCTGTTCTTCTCTGTCAGCAGTTTTAATTATTATTCAGTTCTGTATGAAACAGTTTGTTTGGTTTTGTTTTTAAAAGTTTGGTAGAAATAAAATGAACATTTAAAGTCCCAGCTGTTCTCTGTTTGTCTTCTTATAGTGGTCTGAATGAAAAGGACACCAGTCTTCTCTGTGTTAGCATTTAAATGTTTTTTTTTTTCACAGCCATGAACCAGAACCAGAACCAGAACCAGAACCCAGCGGTTTGTCCATGAGGAGCAGCAGCTCAAAACGTCCTTTATTTAGCTTTAAAAAAAAATCTTCAGCTAATGAACAGTAAGTTTTAAAAATTAGTTTGGACAATATTTAGCACAAAAATATCATTAGTAAAATCATTTTGCAGTTTAATTTTTGTGGAAGCCCATTTCCGCCACCCTGATAAAAAAATAAAACTTTTATTTCATAATTATGACTTAGCTATCTCATTATTATGAGATACTATCTCATTATTATGAGATACTATCTCATTATTATGAGATACT